CACCACTACTTGGTCACATTTATATAATTTGGTTACAAATTCATTTATCGATCACAAATCAAAAATTTTATAAATCACAATTCATTTATCGGTCACAAATCACAAATTTCACAAGTCACAATTCAAATTTTTAGGTCACATATTATTTATTAATCACAATTTATCGATCACACGTTATTTTTTAGTCACAGAATACCAATTAATTGTCACAATATTAAATAATTGATCACAAACTCTCTTAATTCCACTACCTACCCCAATCCACCAGGCACCACCACTTCCAACAACTACCACTACCACAACTATCACCAAAACCACCACCACCACCAACAATATCCAACAAAATCGTTGCCACCGTCACCCAAAAAAACCAACAAATCAAATCCACAACGATAGTCGCACCACCACTAACACTGCGATGATCACCCAACAAACAGCAACCATCATTGACATTGACACAACCACCAACAACAAACGCAACAAACGAAAATCACCCAAAAAAATCAACACAATCACAATCAATCTTGGTCACAAACACCCCCACCTCATCCCGTCCCACCACCACCACCACTCCAAGTCTCCAATGAACCACAACCTACACCACCCTCATCCCTACTTTACCATCTCCGCCAGCACCACCACTACTCCAACGAACCACCACCATTATCACACATAATCAGCTTTCATACACACAGAACAGCGCACATACACCATAGATCGCCCACCTGCACCAACGACCATCGTCATCACCACAACCACACCATCACCGCCCGCACCAACAACCATCACCACCACCCACATCTTACCAACACAACATTAGATAAGATGAAGAAGAAATAGATGTATATTAGAAATAAACCCATCACCGAGGTGTTGCAACGACGATAGGTACTTCTGCGCGTGGCGACGCTATTGCGCTGCCACTGGACAGCACATTACAGCCACCGCCACAGATTCCCAAGTCATTTGTCGCTGCAGTAAATCGTTCCCTAGATTTCCCGTCATTTGGCACCAGACCACAACCCAACTCCGACATAGAAACTGCTCACGCTGTGCTGCAGTGAAGACATAATAGCAATGGTCTCCAGCGACATCATCATCGCCACTGCAGTTTTCAACTCCGCTCTCCATCGTTGTACAACTGTGGTTGGTGCCATTAAAACCTAGAGAGAATGGAGAAGGGTGGGGTGGAGTGGAGTAGAGAAGGAAGAGACAGAGTAGAGATTGAAAAATAATTTAGTGTTTGGGGATGAAATTAGGGGTGGCGGGTATGTAAACTAATTAAATTTATAAAATTATTATTAATATTAAATTTTCATTTGATTTTTGTATAAACAAACTTAAAATCTGATTTTTTTTAAATGTAACTTAAAATATCTGGTTCTATGTAATTTCCACTAATTTATTTCCTTGAAAAAATGTGATTAAAAATGAGCGACAGATAAGTGATTATCTATTAATCAAGATGTTTCTTCTTATTTTCAAAAGGCCTTCTAAGAAGGGTTTGGGATAGAACTAGTGTTTTATATTTCAAATTTCGGACAAAATTAAGGAACATACTAACCCATCCGGTATATCGAATTTCACTTTAATATTATTTATTATTTATTTTTAACTAAAAACACACAAGTAGCATTTTATTAAGAGTAAGTAGGGGTGGGCGTGGGTTGGGTTGTGTCGATTTTTGTCCCAACCCAAACCCAACCCAACACGATCGGTTTGATCGAAAAAATCCCAACCCAGCCCAACCCAACTCAACCTAACCAAATGTGGGTTGGGTAGGGTTGGAACGGCCTTTCAACAAATATTAAAGTCCCAAAATACTGATTTTTTTACCAAAATACTGAATAT